AAAAAAAAAAAAAAAAAAAAAAAAAAGTGCTGGACAAATGCAGAGTTTTACTGGGGTAAAAGTACAGAGAAACCAGGGGTGAAGTCTTCCTGAGAGGGAAGGGAGAAGGTAATAAAATCTCATTCTTCTTAGAGAGAGGGAAACTAAAAGTTTAGTGCTTACGGTATATCAGTTTTCTATCACCACATTTCTTTTTTAAAAGAGCTTTAGTGTTTATCTACTAGCTCTCATTGTAGAAAAATTTGCAAAGTTCAAAAGAGTAAAAATCCAGTAATTCAGCCAGTCAAAGCTAAAACTGTTCATGCTATTTAATGTGTTTACTTACAATATTTTGCCACTCATATACAAAAGAGAGAGATGAGTACAATAAACTCCCATGTATTCATGTTCCAGCTTCATATTTTAGCTTTATCCCTTAGATTGCCATGCATATTTTAACATAGCTATGTTGATATGGAATGTACAAAATTATATATACTTATTTCGTTTATTTCTGATATTGAAAAAATTATTTTTAAGCGAAAATTAAAAAGAACTTTGCTCCGTGATTTTCCTTCAACCTCTTACCACCATCATTACTATTATTCCAACGATGACTTGGGGGGGGAAAAGATAACCATTTTGGAGACCCAATGCTTAAGCTACTGTCTCTTCTTAACTGGGATAATTTAAATGCATATAAAGGGCTTTGCACAGTGCCTTACACAAGTAGTTAGGGGCTATTTGATTTGGTAAAATTAATACTGTTAAAAATAGCTAAACTTATTCAGCACTGTAATAAACACTTTACATATATTATAGCAAGTAAGAGTCACAGCACCTCAGCAGGTGAGTAATGGTCTTACTTTCATTTTATAGGGAAGAACACTGAGGCTTAGGAAGTTTAAGTAACATACTTAAAATCACAGGGGTAGTAAACAGTTGACCCGAGATTTTAGTATAAGCTTATCTAACTCCAGAGCCCATGCTGTTAACCTCCATGCTAGTTTTCTATGATAAATTCAAGATTTCTATAGGGAACCTAATGATGTATATAGAAGTACAGAATCATAGACCTCATTGATAGATTGCCATGGTATTAACCAGTACAAGCCTTAGCTCAATCCAAAATTCATAAGGAATATTCCAATTGAGGTGAAATTTGGGTGAATATATTGGGACACTCAACCACCAGTAATCAAATTTTCCTTGTACTATTACAGCAATATATTTTGCCATTTTTTATTCCTTGTAGACATCTGTAAATTGTAACATCATAATATAGCTTACTATAGTAACTTTAACAAAGTCCAACAGAAATTTTGCCTGTTTTGGTAAACTTTCTTTGAGGTATGATCAATACTAATTTGAAGAATATCTATGAAAGTATTTTAAACAGAATGTTCTAAATTCTGACCTTTTTTCTTCTCAGTCTCTGTAATATCATACAGATTTGTTCCAAGTACCATCAGAGGAAACTTTATGAATTGTTTGACACTGTTCAATGGTTTTGGTTGTTTCATGGGGGCACTGATGGTGGAGCTGGTCTACCTCATCTCAGAAGGTAAAAACAGTTTCATGGTATGCTTATATATATATTGATTTGATGACTAGAGAATTGAGGGACAAAACCTTAAGAGAGGGGTTTTGCTAGCGTAGTCTTTTTTTAAATTGATCCACTTTTGCAATTAAGATAGAGTTAAGATAGGAAATAGACTCTTGCTGTATTCATTAATTTCTAGGAATTGTTTTTCTTTTGATAGGGGGAGGTAATTACAGAATGTCACTTCTCATGAGACCCTGTCTGCTGTCTTTCTTTCGTGTATTTTAAAACAAACTGGTCATTATATTCTTTCTAGGTCTTTCAACAGGGCTGTATTCCATAATGTGTCATAGCTGGCATAGGTGACCCTCAGAAAAGGTAAGTCCTGTGTAAATGTAAGAGGACAGGGTATCTGGATGATCCTTTAGCCAGAAATAGTGTCTGTGCAACCAAAGAGAAATTGTGAGTTGAATGACAACTGATCTTGGAAATTTTTCCCTATAGATATTTTGGTAAGGAGAAACAATCAATCTGAAAAATTCACATGCAACATAAAAAGTACTACACTTATATGGGCTGGTAGAAAAATCAAACAGGATAACATTAAAGATTAGCTGTCACAGTGAAATGTCTTTGGCTGTTTTTTAAATCTACAGACTTTTTCCTTTATTTGTTCTGAGAGGTTAATACAGCTTAAAATTTATTAAATTTGCTTGTGCTTATTTTATGGGAAATACTGCATGCCTATTCTCTGCTTTCAAAAATACTTAGTTATACTTTTAAAATAATGTAAAGAAATATTCATTTGTATTCTCTACAAATAAATTTTACTTGCCTACGTTCACACTATGTAAAACATAAATTCTATGAATGAGAAACTCCTTTTAACACTAGGGTATCCATTCAAAAAATATTTATGGAGGATCCACTCTGTTCCAATTACCATACTGGGCGCTAGAAACACCATGGCAAGCAAAATAAACTTCCAAACCATCACAAAATTTCCAGGGGTGTAGGGAAGCAATAAAATTGAGTGATGAATTAAATGATACGTATAGTAGAGTTCTAGGGAACAAATCTACAATCCTTGATTGTTAAGATCAAACCCTGTTCTTTTCTTAGTTGACTGAGAAAGTTAAGCCAAAGTTTATATTGAATACTTACCATGTGCCAGGCCCTGTGCCACATGGAATTATGCGAGATGTGGTTCCAGTTTTCAAAGGGCTCAAATCCAAACTGTCACAATTAAGTGTGAACTACAGGAGTTGTTGACATCTCTGATGATTAGATTCTTTAAATGCAAACAAAGAACAAAGCACTGGTATTAGGATTTTATAAGATAACTTGGAAAATTCTAACCTATATCTCTACCTCAACATCTTAGTTGTTGAACATGTTTATTTTCTTCAACATTACTCAATGAAGATGTTTCTGAAAATTTGCTAAAAGAAGGTCTATAATCAAATTACATTTGACATATTCTAGAAAGACTGCAAAGTCAAACATTACTATCAGTTTACCTTTTATATAAGTCTAAATTTTTCATATACATGCTTAAGCAACTGACCCAGAGTCTGGCCAAACTTCCAGTTAAGCTCTCCACAAGGCAGTTCTCACTTTAGTCATCAGCCACAAGTTTGGAGGTCCCCAGGGCTGCCATCACTTCTGATAAGCTGGCTATAAATATGGAGATTCCCCACAGACTCCCCCTCAGAACTGATGATTTGCTAGAAAGCACAATACTTAGGATTACAGCTTTATTACAGCAAAAGAATACAAATGGGAATGTGATAAAGGGAGAGAGGCATAAAACAAGGTCTGGGAGGGTCCCAAAAGTGAAGCCTTCTTTCACGCTGAGAGATGTGGTACCCAACTGGCACATCAGTGTGTGACAATACGCAGAGTATTATCACCCAGGGAAGCTTACCTGAGCTTTGGTGTGCAGACTTTTTCTTGAGGCTTTATTATGTAGGCAGATTGACTGAAACATCGGCCATGTAGTTTAACTCAATCTCCAGCCTCTTTTCTCTCTTAAGAGATCGGGCTGATATCCTGTGGCTCAAAACCCCAACCCTCTAATCATCTGGTTGGTCTTCCTGGCTGGCCAGCTCCCATTCTGAGTCATGCCATTAACATAACCCATCAGGTGGGGCTTAAGAGGCCAATCATGAATAACAAACATACTTCAATCACTTCGGAAATTCAATGGTTTTAGAGTTTATCTCCCAGGAACCAGGAAGAAAGACCAGGCAATTTCTCTATCATGCACAACTATTCCTGCAAATACATTTCACTGAAAACCTAAGTTTTTATTGAGAATCTGCATAGTGTGGTAGGACCTGTTATATGCATTACTGGGTTTATTACAGCAATCTTATAAAGTTGATATTACTATCCTCATTTTTGAAACTTAATAATTAAGACAGAAAGAAGAAAATGAAGTGCTTCAGTCACCACCACTAGTATCTGACAGAGCTCTGACCCTCCCAGCATTCTGAAGCCAATGCCAGTGTTTTTCTTCAATATTTATTTACTTATTTAAGTTTACTTTGGCTGTGCCAGGTCTCAGTTGTGGCACATGGGATCTTTGTTGCGGCATGTAGGATCTTTATTTGCAGCCAATGTTGATTTTAATACATCAAACAGCTACTAAGGGTCACACAGTGTAAGGGCTTTTTACTTCTGCAATACAATCTCCTTGGATGGAGGTCTGCATATAGGATATTATTGATAATATTCTAGACATAGTAAAAGATAGATTTTTAAAAGTTTATATCATTTTAGCAGAGTTTGGTGCCCATGAAAGGAGGTTTACTAAGAACACATGGTAAGGACATCTTAGCAACATGGGATGTGCAGGGGAGATTCTCTAAACTTATGTTCAAAAGAACACCATTTAAATTACTGATGATTGATTTGATTTACTTCTGAAAACTTTTTTTTCTGTTCATAGTAATACCGTGTTACATCAAATCATATCCCAATAAATTAGAATCTTACAGTTGGATGTCACCTTAGAGGTAATCTAGTCTAACATTGTACCAAAAACTAGAAGATGTACCATCATCTTCCAGTGCCCAGAAAAATTCTCTACTTTGAGAAGTAACCTAAGTCTACCCATCTGTTGATAACTGTATTCCACAGGATAAGCTTAGTTTTCTATCCACATATCAACTCTTCAAACATTTGATAAATATTTGGAGAAGTAATGTGGTACAATGTTTAAAAGAGTAGGTCCTGTAGTCAAACGATATGAATTCCAATCCAGGTAGTCTAGCTGTGTGTCCTCAGTTTTCATGCCAGAAACAACAACAATAAATAATTCATCATGTTGCTGAGAGGATTAAGTAATTAATATGCACACTAAGTGCTCAAAAAAGACAGCTGTTATGATCCCCTTCTATTTTATAGACAAACCACTCCAGTTTTTTTCATGTTACATGATTCCCTGATTTTTCACTATCAAAACCCCTCCATCCATTAAACAAACAACTTGTCAGTATCTTTCTTAAAATATGGTTTCCAGAATCAATCGCAATACTCAGAATGGGTACATCAAGATAGATATGTTACTTTTATCAACCTTCTCTCTCTCTCTTTCTTTCTCTCTTTCTTAATGCCAACAGCGACTGTGGTGACTTTTTCAGTAATTGCATCACACCTATGGTAAATTAAAACCTGAGGCTTTTTTTAATTTTTGGCAGTTTTTCTCAATTCAGTTCCAGTCATCTTATCACAGTCTCTTTTCCTAATTAAATGGGGGACTTTATCTCTATCCTTAATAAATGTCAACCCATCATTCTAAATAATAGACATTTAAAAACCTTGATTCTGTCATCCAGTGAATTACTAATCTTTACTTCTTTACCAGCTTTGTGTCATCTGCAAATTTAGTAAGCAAGTTCCTCGACTTCTTCCAGGTAATTGATAAAATCGTTGAACTGGACAGGACCAAAACCAAAGCCTTGTGGGAAATTCCTAGAGATCTCACTGCAAGTTAATGACAATCAACTAATCCTCCCCTTTTGGATATCATCATCTCCCACTTCACCTAATTACTATCATTCAGCCCACACACTTCTCCATCATTCCCAGAATGACATCACAGGAGATTTTTGTCACATGTTTTTCTAGGAATAGGATGTATCTGAGTTTGTGACAGTCCCTTTAACCATCAGATTAGCATTCGTCAGGAAAGGAAATGAAGTTCATTTAGATGATTTGGTTTTAGTGACCGTAAACTGGCATATGGTGACTAATTAGGGCCCCTAAGAGAGGGTGATCCTTTGACTTTTTGCATGACTTTGGGTAGGTCATCATCACTCTGTTTCCTCTTACGTAAACAAAGAGAATGCTGCACTTCAGTTTTCTCAGAGATGATGGGAGGATAAAATTAAGTAATGTATTTGAAATTTTAATGCCAGAGATTACTTTAAATATAAAATAAAGCCATAGTGGCACATTTGGTTAGAAATAAGATGGGTCTATTTAATCAAACAACCAGACCAATTTCTTTGACAGAACCGACCATAGTGAAAAGAACATTATAGCTCTATGCTTAAGCATCTCACAAGCCTCCACATTCCATTTAGCATATAGGATATTTCAAACCTTTAAGGATTTATGTCAGCAGAGCATGTGTGTATGTGAGTGCGTGTGTGAGTGTTAGTGTACGATTGGAAAAGATGATCAGCTATCACAGTCTCCAAGCTGCATTAGTCATTTTTAGCACCATGATGGAGAATGGTGTGAATGCGGTAAATTCAAAAGATTTCTCAAAACTTGACTGTGCAGACAGATAACTGTTAGAATGACATTTTCAGTACAAGTGAGAAAACTGATCCTTCTGGGATCTCTAACTCTGAGTGCTTTAAAGAAGATAGAAGACTAAACCCATCCTCCTACACTAATCATTTCAGGAGTAGTTTATCTAAAAGTAGCAATGCTAATAAAAGGGAGTGAAGAAGTCAGTCAAACTGCTTATTTCGACTCTATGCCATTAGCAACCAGATCAATTTTCT